GCTCCCAAGAGATATGTCAAGTCTCAACCACTTGGCTATCAGGTATACCAAAGAGATTTTCTTATGGTAAAAAATGCCCCGATCATTTGAAAAATAAAATAAAATAGCTTTTGATTAATTTGAGGCAGAAATGTATATATCTAAAACCTCCAAAATGACGAAAACGCCACACCTATTTAGCCTCTAGAGTCTAGACAAAAAAGAGATATTTGTAAGACATCTGGCTATCCAAAGTAATCTAGAGGAAGCCTTGGGTCGCATAATATTGTTACATTTCAACGATGAAAAGTTTCTCGTCGAATGCCTCCAGTCAACAAAAATAACTTGTGAAGAATCCAGCATTAGTTAGAATAATTTTAAATTATGAATGCTGTTCAAAAAATAATCTCAGTTGTAATTATAAATTACGCACAGCTTATAATAAAATAACCATTACAATATTAGATGTTATAAATACATTAATAAACTAGTTGTAATTACAAATTACAGCTTACAATAAAATTATTATTATTATAATTTATGTCGTAAATACATTAATAAACTACCGGTTACTAACAAAATTTATTATGATTGATATATATTTTATAATCTTATTCGATAAATATAATAATATCTTTAATAGTTTAATATTATACGATAATAATTAAATTGATTATAAAAAAAGTTAATAGTGCTTTTAATGATTTAATATCACATAAATAACAATTAAATATAAAAAATAAAATTAATTCAATGAATAAAAATAATTGTTTTATATAACGATAGCAATATATAGCTGTTATTATTTATGTAAAAAATTATTATATTTTTTATAATGACATATGACAGTAATAGAAATGTTTAGATTTACTAAATAAAAGTCATTATGTTATTATGGACTGTTATTTAGAATTATGCTATCTAAGATCGGCAGCAAGCGTCACTGCCTTGAAAATTTTGTGGCATCCAGCTTGTTCTAATCACCTCTCGAAGCACCAAGTCCAGCAGTAATCAACTAGATAATGTCACATCACTATTATATCCTCCTTTAAGCGCATGAGGGGATTGAAGATGACATAAACCAGCAATAAATGGGCCACTCGTATCTTAGAAAGGAAAACCACCATTCATGAGAATAAAATCTTAATTATGTGTAATAGATTTCGCCTCCACTACTTAACATTGTTAAGAAGTTCAACAGCTGGGTATATTTTCGGGTTATTTATTTATTTATTTCTTTAGTATTTTCAAAATTTTACAAACATAGGATAACATTTGACCATTTTTTTTACAGGAGCTAATTTAACGGAGGGATGAAAGCACAGGAGCTATTTTGGTAGTTTTTTTTTTCAGAGCTCGTAGGTATGGTAAATGCGTTTATTTCTGTTTCTGAACTTGGATGCTCATTGTTTTTTTGAGTGTGTATTTAATAATGTGATACATTTATTATTGTAAAAGTATTTTTTTTTAAGTCAAAAGCAGTTTGAAGAATACTTTTAAACACATTACCAATTACATCTTCAAATGTATCAATCTTGAGACTATAACATCTACTAAGATTTTAATTCTCATAACTAGGCTTGATATATAACCAGCACACTTCTTCATTCACTAGGTTAACTTGAAAGAACTCACTCTTGTAAACAGCAAGCTAGTTCCCTCGACTAATGATGGATGATTTGCTGCCTCATTGATGTCAAGTTGAATCAGAAAAATTTCGTAAGTACAAACAAACCTTTTTAAAATGATATATAAAAAGATGTAACGAGTGATAAGATGGTAGGGAGTTTTCACATAATTTATTTGTATATACAACATTGCTACAAGCGAGTGTTTCTCTTTATCACTGGTTAAACAACCCCAGACGAGACTATAATTTTGTGCTGTATTATTGATAAAGATAACAGGAAAACGAACAACAAAATTCGAATCATAAGGGAAAATATAAATTATAAAGATGCTTAACAACTATGGGATTGTTCTTAACGAAGAAGGGAATCGCTATAAGAGAAAGATTGGGGAATAAGATTAAGGAAGAGTTGTTTTTGTTTTCTAGAACAGTTCCTAGAAGAATAAGAAATATTTTGCTTTTGAGCCAACTGTTAAATTGCTACGCTTAATGTTTATTGCCAGATGAGATGCTCTGTTTATGCTCCCATAACTTCTCTTTTCTTTGTTTGTTTTTATTTTTATTTTTTACAGTATATTCCTTCTTTAAAAAGCTTGGATTCCATGGCCGGAATGACATGATTAGAATTATAAATTGTTGTAAATAGGAGGGAGGAGGACAATTCGGTTATAAAGAAACAAGTCATGTTATAAAATGAAGGCAAATTACATCATGGATGCGACATGGACTAAAGTAAAATGTTGTTTTGTAAAACTTTGAAGCAAAATGGCCTGTTGGATTCGAAAATTTTATAATACACGAAAGTAATTAGTAGTATATACATTAGTTATTTCTTAGATCCACTTTGAGGAGAGAGATAGACATATATATATATATATATATATATATATATATATATATATATAAAAGAAATTATATCTATATCCACCAAAAGTGATAATAAAATTTTCACGTTTATTCAAATTTTTTTATTTTTTTCTCTTTTTGTGTGTCTATCTCTCTCCTCAAAGTGAGTTTCAAGAGTAATTACTTTACATGTTACTAATTACTCCTTGTGTATTATAAAATTTCTCCGATGGATCGCTTTCTCGGTCCTATTGGACATCTTTGAAATGGTCGAACATCGAAAAAAAAAAGAAAAAAAGAAGAAGCTAATTATACTGGGATTAGATGTAAGCAATATTTAAATATCTGCATACATGATCAAATGACTTAACTAATCAAGCTAACCAGTATCTATAATGTATTATTCCTTTTGTTAAAAAATGTATACTTCAATTATAGTTAAATTTTTTTCTTAAATGAATTGAATCCTAGTCATACTTCTTTTGGCCAGACAATTTCAGATTCCTTCATTTGCAACACACGCGATTCCAGTGCTATCCCTTTCTATTGCATTTTGTCAAATTCTAATAAAGTTCAATTCCCAAAATTACCTAACACCCAAGTTGCTTTTCTTAGTTTATTCCTTTTGTTAAAAAATGTATACTTCAATTATAGTTAAATTTAGTCTCTACCTCTTCCCAGAATCCTCCGTTCCATTAGCATGCCCAATTTGACCGCAATTCTGCCGTGTGACAAAAAAAAACTGCACGAAATCACGAGTAAATTATAAATTCGATTTTTTAGTTTTGAGAAGCAAATTAATTATGTTTTTATTTTAAAACCTAATTATTTAATTATTATATTTTTAAATGGTCTTGTAATTTAATATTTTGATTTTTTAAATTTATTTTGATTTTTTTGTTTTAAGAAATAATAAAAAATAAGAAAAGAATTTATGAGAAAAGATAATATTTTATAAAATAAAATAATATTAAGTTAACTGTGGCTAACATATGTCAATAAACTAAATAATACATTTTGTAAATAAAAGCAATTAATTAATTAATTAATTTTTTGAAAACTGAGGGATTAGTTTATAATTTACTGCGAAATCATCCAATAATCTTCTCTTCGTATTCTCGAATTTTAGGAATATAACCCCTCCGTCACTTTACCACAATCTCTCCTATTTAAAACGCGTATGGCGTGACTCAAACAGCTGTTGCTGCGTAGCCCTGCGCCTCTGCCCCATCCTTTGGTACGAAAATGGCATTTTTCGCGATTTACTCAAATACAAGGGCTCCATTCCCGAACACGTAAATTCTCCAAACCGTCAAGAGCATTCTAGTAATTTCATAACTTTATCCACTTCCCTTTAAAAAAAAAAAAAAAGAAACTGGTGCTAGCACAAAAAAATTAAAAGAAACTTTTTAAAATATTTTTTCACTCTTGTGTTACATTAAAACTTGTGCTATTAATTTGATCAATTTTATTTTTAAATTATTATATTTTAAGTAAATATTGTCCTTTCATTTGATTTAATGATTCTCATTGACAAAATTTCTTTTTTAAAAAAAATTAATTTTTGATATTTTGAATTGAATTTTTTCATATATAGTAATAAATATTCAATCCATTTTTTTAAAAAATTATTATTATTTAATTAGAAACAAGTTTTTAATTTTTATTAAACAAAAAATTACAAAATTGTCAAAATAAGAAAATAATTTTGAATTATCTCAAAATTCTTTTGAAGCTCTAAAAAATAGTATATATTATCTACTTAATCTTAATATGATTTTCAACTATTTATATGATCGAACGTGTAATACTTAATTAAAACTTAAAATAAATTAATTTTTGGGAATCACATACAAATATTTTTAGAAGGAAATTAAAATTATATATGTAAATTCATATGGTTTCCTTAGGTGTTTTAAAAAAGATTTGAGATAATTCTAATTTATTTTTATTTTTTATAATTTATTGATTTTTTTATTTCAAAAAATAAAAATAATAATCTTTAATTTTTAAAAAATCATGAAATTATTTGTGAAAGTAGATTGAATTTTCATTGACACTTATGAAAAATTTCAACTCAAAAATATCAAATAATAATTTTTTCAAAAAAAATTAGTTAATGATAACAATAAAATCAAACAAGAGACAATATTTATCTAAAATATAATAATTAAAAGATAAAATTGATAAAACAAAGCTCAATACGTCACAATTTTAATAGCTAGGAGATGAAAAATGCCATTTAACCAAAAGAAAAACCGACTCAAAATTCTATCTGGTATGTTCTTCGAGATGTTGAATTGGAGTAGCCGTTTTCGGCTACAGCTTTTGCAATAAGACGAAACTACCCTCAGTTTACCTTCAAAACCCCAAATTTAACCATCTAGTTTGTCCTTGTAGATTCTACAAACAGTCAAAGATCCTATCCTCTCTAGTGCTATCAAAAAACTTCTCCTCTCTCCATGGAACCAGGAGGAGTAGAAGAAGCTTGCTTACAGTGAAAAAAAACAAACAAACAAACAACAAGCATAAGTGAGAAAATCCAATGGATTTAACGGAAGGAGTTGGGGAGAGCTCTTCACCGCCGAGAAGCTTTGGTAGTTTTAGCAACTACGATGTGCGAAACGACGTGTATAATCGCTTCATGGAGAGTGGTCACGAAGAAGCTGTTTCTAATCCTGAGTTGTTTCGCGAACTCCTCGACTCTCACTTCAATCGCTTGCCTGCTAGGTTTTTTTTTATTTTGTTCACATCATATTTGCTTCTGCTTCTGTGTAGTTTTGAATTTGCGATAGTGTGAATCTGTTGTGTATTTCTATTTGGTGAACTTATTTTTGCTCTATTTTACTTGTTTGGTATTATTATTGTCAGTTATGGACTGGATGTTAACATGGATAAAGTGGAAGACGTTTTGATACATCGAAAACTACTTGCGATGGCAAAGGATCCAGAGAGACGTCCTGTTTACCATATCCGTTTTTTAGAGGTACAGCCTTGTTCTTCATCTTCTTTTAGTTAGTACCACTAGCTTTGGCCTTTGGTGCGTCTTATTTGTTGAATCACATGGTTAGCTAAGCCTTAATCTGCTTTATAATTTCCACGGAACTTTGGTGAAGGAAATTTAGCTGAAAATGAAGCATAACATGAAATGGTGAATAAGTTATTATGATAAATGACTTGCCTAAAGTATTAATGACATTGTACCAGTCATTTTGTGAATTGAGTGGGAGAGTGATTATTGAGTTTTTTAGGTTTGTTAGGGTTGAAATCAACTGTGCTCAGTAGGATACTCTGGGTTCCAGTTTTTTGGATCGATATTGTTAATGTGTATGGTTTCAAAATGATGAAACTGACTCTATATTCCTAGTGAGAAATTTTTATATTTCCAGATAGCACTTTGATGATGTATTTTTCTCTTGATATCATAAAATTTATCTTACGCCTCAATGCTGCTTGTCTAGTTTGCACTAATATATCTATTACCTAATCGTACTCTATTTATGCTTCAACATGCTGAGACTTTTTTTGGTTAGCTATCGTTTGGGTTCTTTGGGGGTTAGGGTTAACATAGCACATGAGTATTTGAACTGAGAAGATATTCTCTCACCTCTTTGATGCAGTGCGCCTTAAACTATAGAGCACTTTTGCACAGTGCTCTACAAGTTAATCAGGGTGCTTAACATTCAGTTTTAGAATTCGTTTGCTGGGATTCATTATATATATATATTAAAGGTCATCCTTCTAGTTCCAAATCCTAGAATTGATTGTGAACTATTAAAGAAACTCACAATATATTCAAAATGATTGTATTACTTATGATCTTGTCCTGCTAATTTGTTTCAGTAACGCATCTTACATTCTATGCTCTGTCTGCTTATTTTCTCCTTTTGCTTCTGGGAAGAACCTTAGCATTAAAACAGAGAGCAATGGCGACCAACAGTTTATTAGTGTGACTTCCTTCCCGAGGCCAGCGTGTGATATAGATGATGGAGGAGTTGTGGTATCACAAAAGAGGTATTGCATCCATATATATCTTATTGATGTGCGCATATCAACGTGCTTTCAAACTTATTGTTCTTGATTTAACGGGCATGTAAACATAATGATTGTACTTTACTGTCTGTTTGTCAATTCATTTTTCTTTATTTGTTATTTATGCCATTTCTGTAAGTAGAATCAGGGATTGCACGATTGACTTTGAACCTTGCTCTAAGCTCGGGGATCTGAATTTGGATGCTAGAAAGAGTTCCAAGGACATGGAGGAGAGGTATCATCCAGAGGATGTTTCCAGAAGGTACTTCCTCTATGAAGCTTTTTACCATTTCTTTTGTTACTTTCTTTATCCTGAAGAGTGAAACATTGTTAATTTTTTTAACCCAGTTGTGGAGGGGAATTTTTTTTGTAATTGGGGAAGTCTGGAGTTTGTTTTAGTGCAGTGGGTTCACTCTGCAGGTTTAGTATAATTGCCAATATTTGTGCTGTTTTGGTCTTTGTGTTTCTCCTGGCATTGGAACTAGAACGCTTCCCTCATTACCAAGCAATATAATCAAAATGACAAGCCTAAATGGAAGTGCCAGCAATGCTCTATATTGTTCCACATTGCATGTCAAATTTAAAGAGCTGTTATTTTCTATTTGATCTTATCCTCTATCAAAACTTTCGAAGTGTTTTAAAAAGGAGTTCAGGTTTTAAATTTTAATCATAATAAACTTAATTTTCCTTTCATATTACTTTGAATGCATTTTTTAAAATTAGCTAAAATGAGATGTCTCTGTTCTCTTTGTAAATGGAGGACAGGTTTGTTGTACAGCCATATATATGTTTGCTATATTTATGAAATACGGCAAAATTAGCTTGAATTATACCTATATATGTAAAAAAACCCGAAGTTTGTTAGATCACTAATGTATTCTTTATATATTTTTCTATATTAGAATTAAGTTGGCTGCTTGGAAACTTAATGCAGGCAAGAAGTTTCACATGTCCCGATTCATGAAGTAATATTTTCTACTGTAGACAAGCCCAAGCTTCTTAGTCAGGTTTGTCTGTGAAGACTTATGCTCTTTTTTTTTTTTTCTGCTGTTGAATGCTTGTTATGTTCTTATGAGTTTTACCATTCCATTTCCATGTTCATAATCCTTCATTAACTTGAACCACACAATTTTTTGGCATTTGGATGTTTAGGGGTTCAAATTTAAGCCTATTACACTATTGCATTTCTTGCAATGAGTTTGAGTGGATGCCAGATTACCACGGCAAAAGGGGGAAAGAAAAGAAACCAAGCTTGAAGTTTGCTACCTTGATATTTTTGTTCTCCATAAAAGTAAAAACCAGGCTTGAAGTTTGTTGCATTGTTTTTTTCTCCTCTGTATTCACAAACTAACCATAATTTGACATGGGTTGTTCAAATTTACTGAAAGGAGTATACCCTGGTTTTATTTCCAGTTGCAACTTTTAAAAATGTTTTGGGGCCCTTTACTTTTTATTCATCAGCAGTTGGATTCACTGTGTATGCTGTGGATGTGACTTCCACATGTGCAGCCTGTTGGTATTTTTTTTATTAGATGCAGTTTGTTAATCAAAATGTGCAGCCTGTTATTTGCTATTATCCATCACTGGGAAGAAAAGCATGGTCACAACTCCTTAGATTTTCCTGTAGACTCTTATGTTATGATGTTCTCAACACACCTTTTTTGGGATTTTATATGTGATCTGGCAATGCATCTTAAAGTCCTATTTTTCAGTCTAAAGCATATTAATAGAATGGAAGTTATAAATTTTCTAAGCTTATGATGTTCATGTATGTGCTCAACTACAAGGTAAAAACCATGCTAAACTTAGTCAAACCAGTAAAACAACAAAGCTTGGTTAAATTTGGTGGTTTGAAATTGAGAAATCTGAATTTCTTCTGATGATGTCTTGTTTTCTTTTAGCTTTCTGCTTTGCTTTCAGATATAGGGCTTAACATCCGTGAAGCTCATGTCTTTTCAACTGCTGATGGCTACTCTCTGGATGTATTTGTGGTGGATGGATGGCCTATTGAGGTACTTGATGCTCGTTATTATTTTTTGTTCATATTCACACTATATTTTCTTTGTACTTAGAAATTCAGTATAACTCATTATTACTACTGAAGGAACTTAATGACATTGGAGCTATTTGTTTACACCTGTTGCTCATCTTTACTGTAAATCTATCACTCATGCCGTGCAGCATAATTATCATACTGATGAGTTCTGTGCTCGTCTCCTGAATTCCAAAGAAAATGATTAATAAGTCTGAAATTTCTTTATAACAGCCAGAGTTAGTGATGAATCTCTATGTTTTTCTTTTTGTTTAGAAAATTTGCAAATTGTTTTTTTTAAAAAACCATGCTTACCCTGGACAGTGGCCTCATATTATATTAAGGAGCATTGTGATCATATCTCTTTATGACAGGGATCTGTGCTGAGTCCAAATGTTGCTGACTTTGCAATGTTGTGGCCAGGATACAGATGGTTTGTATAAGGCTATGGAAGAAGCAGTTGCTAGAAGTGAGGTAATTTGTGTTTCAGTATAATCCCATTATTTGTTTTTTGGGTTACTATTTTGCTTGAATCACACTGCTGCCTTGTAGAAGTATTGTTCATAGCGAAAGAATTAGAAAATTTATTTTTTTAAATTCACGGCATCATTGTTTTAGATTTACTAGGCCTTTTAAAGGGGGAAAAAAGGATCCTGAGAAATATGTATTCTATTTTCACTGTTTTTGCTGCTTTTGAATTTCTTATCATATCTAGTGGAAGAAACCCGTGCATACTGTGGAAGAGAATTTATCTGTATCTGGTAATGGAGGACATATAAAAATGAAAAGCATATGAGAGTTGCAAAGGGTATTATAGGCTGTGATTTTTCTCATCTAGCTGGGGTAGTTCCAAGTCATGCTGCTTCAGTTGTGGTTATCAGTTATGTCTTCTGGATGAAAAGAAGACTGGGTATTTTAGGGAAGAGGTTGTATTTTGTGTGTTTATTTCTTTTTAATTCTCCAACTAGCTAATGTTGGCATTGCGGCATTAAAAGGGAATGCAGCCATGCTAAATGAATGTCTCTTATTGAGAAAACTATTGCCTCATACCTACAAATAACTTGGAGCAATTTGAGTACCCATTGCAGGCCATAGTTTATATTATTTCAGCATGTATCTCATCTTTTAGCTGTGCAGAATTGTTGCTGATTGCTTGAAGCATATTCAATTTCTTGTCACTTCAGTTCATTTGAGTGTTGGATGCAGTTTGTGTGTGTGTCTCCACTTAATTTTTGTTCAAGAGATAAAACACATATTCTGATGAGCTTTGCAATGCATGATCAGTGCGTTGTTCCAGTGGACAATCCTTTATAAACAACTGCTTTTGGGCCTTGTTTGTTCAACCTTGTTGTGCCTCCTTAAGAAAATGGGGTTTAACCTCATCGCAACTCTTGGATGCTGACTTCTGATACTTCTTACCACTGCTGATGCATATATTGTTAATTTATGATTGAGCTAAATGTCTTAGTCGAAAACCCACAATCTGACAGTCAGATTAAGTGGCTTGCTGTCACTAATAATTCATAAATTAGAAGTTCTGTTGATGTAGTATATTGAAGGTAATATTGAGTCTAGAGAAGCATAGTTTAGTCATTGCTTGTAGAAATTTAAAAATAAATAAATAAATTCGTGTCAATTGATTTTTTGAAATTAATTCCTCGCCGTGCCTGACTTATTGAGGAGATCTTGCTCCTGTTCTTGACTTTTAGCTTTAGCTTTTGATCGGGACTTGTTTTGCTGTCACTATTGTCTTCTGTAGACTCTCCCCAATCTTAAACTTGCGCAATCGTTTTCTACTTGCATGGGCCCCTAATTTGTGCATTTGTTTGAGTAAAGAATGAATAAAATGTTCTGACTATTCTCTCTGGAAATACAGGGGTCATGGTCTGGTTCTTCACATTCCCATTCATCTGTAGATAAACCATTAGCAGCTCAAGCAAAACCTGGAGATTGGGAAATAGATAGAAAGTTATTGAAGATAGGAGAAAGGATTGCATCTGGATCTTGTGGAGATTTGTGAGTTGGGCTTTTCAAATTTGCTACTTTTCTTCAACTTCATTTTTTGGTTGTCCTACTTTCTTGTTCTCATCTGTCATCTTCTGTTAATCTGAAGGTATCGTGGAGTTTACTTTGGTCAAGATGTTGCCATTAAAATTCTTAGATCTGAGCAATTAAATGGTACTCAAGAAGAAGAGTTTGCTCAAGAAGTAGCAATTCTAAGGTGAATAGTTTGAAAATATTACAATGAAGTTCACTTCATACTTTTTTTAATCGATTCTTGCTAAACAAATGATGCAAAAATGTTTAAGCATCACATTTCTAAAATGCCAATATAATTATCTTCCTCGAAGATTCTTTGAACCAAGTTTTGTTAATAGAGGAAGTGAAAGTTATTGGAACTTTTATGTATGAACCGTCCGCTTGCACATGAACTATCATGTATCTCTGTCATGGAACCCTAACTGTATGATCTGTGACTCTAATGAAGCTGGGTAATGATATAACGTGGTTTTATGTTATGTGCTTGAGTGTATGATTTTGACTTAATTTACACTTGAAACACTACCTTTTCTCCTGGAAGAACCCATACTTTCTGCAGGTTTGACTCTATTATATGAAGGCATGTTTTGGCAAGATCTATTTTTCTTCTTGGGAGAAGATTTTTGCCAGAATTGACTATCCATTAGAGCTAGCTTTTGGAACCTATAAATTTTGGATCCTTTGTTAAGGGGTTTGAGATTGTGTTTTTTTATATTAGTGACTCTCTTTTAAACTCTCTCTTGATTGTATGCGCTTTTTTCCCATACGAAGGGCTATTCATATCCTACTCAAATGCTGTATTTGTTTTTAATTAAAACAAATTATACAAGATAGAGCATTGGTTCAATTCAGGGATCTTGATACTCCTCCCTTTCCACCTTTTTTAACTAATATCTGTTATTTGATTAGCCTGTGTTAATTTGTCCTTCAAATGGCCATGAAGTAGACTTTTATTCGATTAACCTGCATTAATGATTTCTTTATTAATTCATGCTGTTTTATGCAATTTTATCAGTATTGCAGAAAACCTTGAAAAGAGGGATGATATTCAGCCCTCTTAGGTGACCAAAGATGATGCCCCTTATTTATACATCCATATGGAAGTAAAGAATTCCTATTTTCTTTGCAGTGGAAATATCTTCCCGTTCACTTTAGTAATGATGTCATTTAGTAGCGGAATCTAAAAGTCTGGGCACTTAATTGAACATGAATTTCCTTTCCACTATTCCATTTGAGCTGTTAATATTCTGGTTGTTCCACTTTGCCTTGATTCCAAGCATTTTTATTGTTTAGTAGTTTTACATTTGTACCTGAACAGCTGTCCAAATTAAAAACCTTCTTTTGGGTTTTTCTTGATACAGGGAAGTCCAACATAGAAATGTTGTTCGTTTTATTGGTGCATGCACACAATCTCCGCATTTGTGCATAGTGACAGGTATAGAACTCTGGAGGAAGCAAAATCTTTATTTTCATCTTTCTTTCTTCTTCTCCTGCTTTATTTCATCAGATTAATGATCAGACTGCACATGTGCTTTGGTTGAGGGGAAGATACACTGCCCTAAAGAGAACTTAAGGCTTTGCTCTTCTATTTATTGTTGTCCTTCTTTTTGATGCTCTCTCTTCTCAGTAATTGATAAGAATTTTTCTCTCCTCTTTTTGTTTTTCAAATTAAAAGCTGGAAATCTCTGGGGCTTATTATGAGTATGAATGCAAGTCTATTTATACCAGGTTTTTAAATCCCGAAGTTGTTTTGGCTGGGATTTTACCATCATTTCATCAAGTTAATATCTAACACAGAGTTGGTCTACCAGAGTTGAAAATCATGCTCATACTTGTGTTAAAGCTTTAATATGGGATACAAAATTTCCATTTTCATAGTTGTTGCGTTAGTATGTTTTCCATGTAGGCAGAATTGGTTCTTGGCTTTCTTTTTGTAGTTCATTAAATTCCAAATTTATTTGATTCTGTATTTGTTAGTTTGCCTGTCTTCTATTTCATTGAAATCCTTTCTAAGCATATGCTGTTCTTGCTTGCAGAGTTTATGCGTGGAGGAAGTCTCTATGATTACTTGCATAAGAATCATAATGTATTGGAGCTCCCTCAATTGCTGAAGTTTGCGACTGATGTTTGCAAAGGAATGGAGTATTTGCATCAAAACAATATCATTCATAGGGATTTGAAGACAGCAAATTTGCTCATGGATACTCAAAATGTAAGGGTTTTGAATTTGATTGATAGAAGTGAGATTTGAGTCTTTGCTGATCTCATATATATAATAAGTTATTTATAAATATCCACCATTTTCTGATGCTATTAATTCGGCTGCTTTCTTGCTGCTTGGCTGCATGATTGATGAGTTGGCTGTTTTATCATTATTATGTTTCCATTCAACGACTTCGAGTTTGTTTTAACAATGTTGTTAATTTGCATGTGACCTCTATGAAAACTCCTTTTTATGTAATGATCCGTTTTCACACAATTGATGTATGGAGCATGAAGATCTGATCTTGTTATATTTTGTTTTGCTAAGTAGTGGTGTGTCTGGGTTGTAAATCATCAACATGGTTGACTACTGATGTGATAGGCTGTCATTCCATTTTGTATCTGTTTTGGACTTATATTATTCAGAATTGATTGATGAAGTCTTGCGTTAATTAATTAATTCATTAAAAAATCTTAATTAAGTTATTGTCATTTTGCCCCAAGGTTGTTAAGGTGGCAGATTTTGGGGTTGCTCGGTTCCAGAATCAAGGGGGAGTCATGACAGCAGAGACTGGAACCTACAGATGGATGGCACCTGAGGTGTGAATTTTTTTAATTTGGCTATGTGTGGCTTGCCTCCTTACTGTAAAGAGGTTTGCCTCTTTACTGTAAAGAGGTGCAAGCTTTCCATTCTCCTGAGTTAAGGATCTTTGTGATGATTCAAATCAACTCCTTGATTGATTAACTGGCTAAAGAAAAAGTATCACTATCTGCATTTCCTTGGTAGAGATCATGGGTTGTAATCTTTCTTCAGATGAATTGTTGAGCATTCAGACTTGGTAAATCTTACAGCAATAATTATGGATTTTTTTTTCCCTTCAAGGAAGAAAGACAATGTCCTTCTAAACTTACCAGTTTTTGTACTCTTGCTCCTCTGCTGTACTCAAACTATTGTTCATCCAATGGTTTCATCCTCTTTTAAGACAAAAAGAAATGAACCAGCTTTTGTATGTGTTTTCTAAGTTCATGTTTCTTGTGACCTTTCATCTTCTGGGCAAACATCATGAGTTCTAGTCTTTTTGAACTTACATCCGATTATCTTATATTATAATTTGTCTGATACAAGGTAATAAACCATCAGCCATATGATCAGAAAGCAGATATATTCAGCTTTGCTATTGTATTGTGGGAGCTAGTGACTGCAAAGGTATTCCTAAACTTGCACCAAGCACTTGAGCTTTTATGAAAAGAATCAATGTTACAAATATGAAGAAGAAAAAGAAAAGCACCGGTGAAGATAATCCTCACGTGACATTTTTATTGGTGTTTTAGGTTCCATATGATAGCATGACTCCGCTACAAGCTGCTCTGGGAGTGAGACAGGTTTGTACACCTATGTACTGTTCTATATTGTGACATATTAATCTAGGCTGCCTTTGAATTGGCCGTAGAAAGGCACAACAATCTTCTTTGTCTCCTTGTTTTCTGACATGTTGTGTGCACTTTTATGTTGTAACTGCAAGTGTTAGTGTTCTGGGAAGGAGTGTAGAATTAAAATCCTTTTGAATTGGATAACAGGTTCGCTGCATTCAATTCTAGTAAGATGAAAGCTGCTTCTTATTATTGATGTCCTGTTATTGAAATTGCTAATTACAAAGTAACTTGAGACATTTCTACAATTGGTGTTTGCGCAAGACAGATTTTGTGCTTTCTTGATTGCATGTTTAAAGCATTCTATTGTTGACATGAGACAAAAGCTTATGCAGTTAATAGTTTCACTAACTTTACTTGATATTTTCCAGGGCCTGCGTCCTGATCTCCCTCACAATGCACATCCAAAACTATTAGAATTGATGCAAAGATGCTGGGAGACAGTTCCTGACAAGCGGCCATCCTTCTCTGAGATAACAGTTGAACTCGAAACCCTTCTGCAAGAAAGTCAGGTGGATTTCTTAACACTTCTTTTCTTCATTGATTAATACAGAAGACCGTACGTCTGACTCATTGATTGGCCTCTCAGGAAGCTACGGAAGCAGTTAATGGGAACTGATTATTTCTGTATGCAACATTCTAACACGCACGTTTTGATGATTTGCCTTTTGTTGTTCTTTCAACTTAGTTGTGTTGAAAAAAGAAAAAAAAACATAGTTATAGAGGTTTTATTGTACAACCGAGAGTAAAGGATTTTAGGCTGTCCGTTACAACACTAAAGAAACAAAGAGTAAGGTTTTGTTTTCTTCTGGATCCAGTTTGCATAGAAGGATCACGCCTGAGTTTGTAAAGCTTTTAAGTAGCAAGACGTGTATACTTTACTACAAAAGATCAGTTAATTTTAGTTGACCACTTGAAATTTGTTGTAATTATGTTCATGCGCAATTTTATTTTGAAGGTGTTTTTATTAAATTTTTTTTTCCCCAAAATATGAATTGCAAATAGAGTGGCCATATGTGACTCTTTTCCATAGCTTGTTCTCCATTATAAAGAATGTGTAGCCATCTGTTTTTGGAAGATTCTTCGTCCTGAATAACAAACCTGGGAGCTTCTGGCAGATGTAACAGGAAGAAACAGAGAGAATCCTATCAGCCTTACGAGGACTAGTCATGCATCTATTTGTTAAAAGATTCAAACGCGTAATGATGAGCATGTCAAAAGCATTCCACTCTATTTAAGTAGTCTCCACATTTCATTTCATCATGTGTCCATTTATTAGAGATTCAAACGCGTATATGGCCACATTGTTTGAAGATGGCTAGTGTCTCAAACGAGGATGGTACGAAAGAGCATAATTGGGTTGCAAAACTTATTCCGTATTGTTCTCTTTTTTAATGTATCAGCATTATTAAATAAATAAATGTATCAGCCTTTTCTTCCCAAGTTGTAATTGATCTAGTTGAAGCCGAGGCCGTCGCACCCTCATGTTGTGCGAGAGACAAGGATATCATAATCTGGCCGACTCTCGAGTTTTTCTCACAGAACTGAGTTACGCAAGTAAAAATGCTTAATATATTTGTGGAAAAAAAAAAAGTAATGTCAATGATAGGGTTAAATGCATCAAACTTCTATTGAATTTTAGTTATTTTCATCCACAACTAGGGCATAACTCGAGCAAGAGATCATCTAAATGGATTGTGCATTGTTTCTTTATTAAGTCTAGACTAGATACAAGAAATAATAAATTCTTCTTTGGCTATGACTACTTTATTATTATTTTTTTCTGATTTGAGTTAATAACGATGTAATTATACATATTATAAATTTTAAGATAAAAATATATTTATTTAATTCTTTGAAGGTTGCATGGGTGACACATAACAAGATGGTAAAATTTCTTATTTACTGAAGACTTGTTTGCATGTTTATAAAAGTTTGGGATCAAGATGTACCTGTGTGTTTATGTGCTAGGAACCTGTATTAGAAGTGTGTGTGAGGATATCATCTTCCTAAACCAAAATGTTTTATCTACTCTTTTCTGGAAAAAAAAAAAAAAAAAAAAAAAACATGAAGTAACTCATTGCTTGAAATTGTGGTAACAATCACCCAACTTTTGAGATTAAATTCACCTTTCTATCTGTTTAGGCTATTGGCAACAATTTACCGTCCATAACGGGATCAGGAGACCATCCAAGTTGAGTTGTGGCTAAGAGGGAATATATCCAAGCGACAAGAGGTTAATTTACTGTTGTAGCTGACGGGTGCTATTCATATGATTAAGACACAACATACGCTATGTATGCTATTATTATTATTATTATTATTATTTAATATAATTTTACAATAAAATGTATTTTTGAATCAATTTGTGAGTAAATTAATATCAAGATAATTATCTTTTTTGAATGATCTTAAAGATATATTACTTATTTGGATTTGATATATTTAGAGAAAAATTAATTAAAAAAAATTAAATACTGATTGCAAATTTTAAATTTAAGAATTTAATAAAGAGAGTGTACTATTAGGTAAATTTCTTGAAATTATTTATGCTAATTATTTTAATTTTTATAATGAACTTCATATTTATGCCATGTGATTATAATTTAAAATATATTTAATAATTTCTTAATATTATAAAGTGACGCCAAATGTTGAAAAACTTTTGTGGGGGCCGTTGAAAACCCATCCCAAACCGAGGGTTTCCCACGTCTCGTTCTTTTCTAGTTTGTAATTTATATTTTATGCTTTAATTGTATAATCAACAATGGGACCATAACAGTTTTCAGGCGCATGTGCCATTTCAACTTCGACTTGGACAGCAGTCAATCATTTGTAAGTGGCAGCCAGTTCACTGATTATACGTTGGAGAAAAAAACAAGAACAAAAAACTCTTATCTAATTTTGACAATCATTAGCTTGAAGTAGGGTGAAAACTATGCGTTAATTGACAAAATTCGTTATTTAACATACCTAACAAAATTTGACAATTAGATCAGGAATAGAGTTATTTATACATCAGTCCTATTCTTAAGAAACAAAGTAATCAATGTTTTTTTTTCAAAAATTAATTATTTAATTCTTTATAATGTTCTTTATACCAAAAAATATTTTATTTTCTATTTTTTACAATAAATAAATAAAAATTGAAAAGAACATAAAATTTACGAAAAAAGCTAAATAATTATTTTAAAATAAGAAAAACTAATTAATTCATTTATAAAAAAAATAGAAAGAATAATTTATAACTTACTTCTCAATACTGTAATAATTTGCAACCTCGTCACAACCAAAAAAAGGAAAAAAAAAACAATTTATATCTTATCGTTATTCGGTCTAGATTCACATTTCTATAGGAGTATATATAATTAAACAAAAAAATAAAACAAACTGTATCCAACTAAATATATTCGTTTATTTAACATACCAAACAAAATTTGACAATTAGGTCAGGAATAGAGTTAATTATAAATTAGTCCTTCTATTCTCAAGAAATAAAGTAATTAATCCATTTTATTTCAAAAATTAATTATTTAATTCCTTAACAATTATTGATCGTACTTAATATAATATTACTTTATACCAAGAAATATTTTCTTTTTTCGTCAAACTTTTATAATATTCATTTTCATATTTTTTTTAAATAAAAAATATGAAAAAGAACATAAAATTTATGAGAAAGATTAATAATTAATTTTTTTAAAAAAAAGTACCAATTAATTCGTTTACAAAAACATAGAAAGAATAATTTATAATTCACTCCTCAAAACTGTAATTTGCAACCTTGTCACAAAAAAAAAAAAAAAAGAAAGAGGAAGAAGAAGCAATTTGTATATTATCATTATTCGGTCTAGATTCAGATTTATATAGGAGCATATACAATTAAAACGATGGCCAATACGCATCTTATTGTCTAATATAGTACAGATTTCAAGCAAAATAATTAACATCATGTTCTCCACGCACCACTTTCATGTGGGGGAAGGTGCTATTGTATGCAACTGCGATCTAATTAGTGAACAGACATTGACCTTGAGTTGGCGGATCAAGAACAGAATCTCGAGCTACCTAATCCACGTTATAGCATACTATAAATTAGGTTAATTAAACACCAGATTGTTGAATGGGATGCATTGCTTGGCTGCTACAAGAATAATTGTATCGTCTGGCATATTTGGTTCTTTATTGATTCTCCTTTTGGCTATTGTACCATCTAAAAGAATATTCAATCTAGATTAGATTAATAGAAAAACCTCACCAACAAATTTACAAAACTGTGATAAACTTGAGATTCACCAACAAAAAATTGAGGAAAAAAAAGATTAAAATGAAATTATAAAATTATTGTTTCAATAGGGTTGAAATGAAAGGATTAATTTAAAGGTAATTATATCATAATTTCTCAACCTTCGTTTTTGTAAGAGATGGCAAAGAAGAAACGATGTCAAACAAGGAAACAAATTGTAATGGATATCTGAAAAAGAAGATTTGACAAAGTATATATGCATGACAATAGAATTTCTTTGAATATTATTTGTGGGGATGCAGGGGTTGGTAAAATTAATTTGTCGCAATTTATTTAATATGACCACATAGAGTAAAGATAACGCAAATGACATCATAAATTGGGGGTCCTCTAAAAAGAAATTTCGTCAAATATGACAACCGACACTAAATTAAAATCGTACACGTGGGGTTGGAGAGACACTGACATTCAATTAGTCTCTCTCTTGTTTAAGTATTTGTTTATTTCTGGATCGATACATCGTCTTTTCTGCATGTTTCCAGGATTTTGCTTTTAGGTGAAGAAATCAGAAATACAATCTTTTGATTCAGTGGAAATTAAAAGCTAAAAGAGATTCCCAACAAGGCCACCACAACGTGTTTTCTTATCTACACATTTTTTTTATTTTTTGCAAGTTGGTGAAGAGACAACGACAATGCCGGAGAAATATCCAAACCTGCTACAGAATCGTATTCTTTTATTAATTTTATTTAGCATTATTACTAGTCACGATTTAGTTATGTATCTTTTGTTCCATAGTTTGGCCGCAGAAACTCGTAATCTTTCAAAAGAAAAGAAAAAAAAATCAAAGAGAGCTAATTTCAGTGATTGAGAATTATTTTATGTCGAGAGAGATAAGATATATATATATATATATATATATATAAGATGACATCCAAATAAAATGCATGCATATTTATAAATTTCCTTAATCAAAATCACGGAATTCAAAAATAATGAAGGGAATCCACCTGTTGTTCATCTCGTTACAGTACGCTAATTTGGATTACGAGTATATGGACAAGACCTACATGGCTACATGAGTACAGGACTACAGGAGTGGTCACAACCATTCCAATTTTTTTGAAAAATTCATATATTCCTCTGTTTTTAACTCTCAAGTTTTTTTTTTAAAAAAAAAATTATATAAACCCATTATTTTTTTAAAAAAATTCGTTTATGATATGAATATTATTTCATATGCACAATTTTCTTATGGGCAGATATACCATTCACTTTTTCTTGATAATGAATGCAAATATGTATTAAAAAACAATACAAAAATTAAATTTGAAGCTTTATCTAATAATTTAAATTTTTATATTAAATTATTTTTCTATATCAAACAATTATGAATTCAAATTTTATTATTTTATTTTTTTATTAAAAAATAATATAAAACTAATTTTAAAACATCACTCAATAAATAATCATGGGTTCGAATCTTACTATTTTTTTTATTCTATATCAGAAAGTGATATAAAATTAATATTAAAATGACATCTAATAATTTATTTTTTTTATTGAAATTGTTATTGACAAGATGCAACAATAGTCGTTGAATTTCATTTTACGTAGACTCTGTTAAACTCTTAACAGTATTGCCGCCCTAAGATGTTGTTACTATCTGTATATAATTAGACGAAAGATGGCCCTCATTTTTTGATTGAAGATTCCAGATTAGACCACACCATATCAGATCATGTCTCAATGCAGGCTTCATGATTGCAATCCTTTTTATTTTAGAAAAAGCAAAAATAGTAGTAAATGTTTACCAACCTCACGTACCTTTGCATCATATGATCTACAAAATATATTAGGTGGTCTCTTTATTATCTTATTATATTAGAGCCGGTAGGAGCCACTCGTTCTTTCTGACGCATTGAATAGTGGACCGACAGTACCATCGATAGTGATGTTCCCTACTAAATGCACAACTTGGTCCATTCAATGATCCTTAGTTAAGGCAATTGCCAACACGTTTGTGACCAATTCATTTTGGCATTCACCCTCGCTAGTTTCTTTAATCCACTCTAACTTGCTTCCTGAAACAAAACAATATTATTAAGCAGTGAACCACTAGTTCAATCCAGGTTATAATTACTTGAAAAATCATTCCCAACACCACCATGAATGTGCATGTTACGCTCCTTCCAAATACCAGAAATTGCAGCCTTCGACAACCAATATTTGGCAGGCACACCGCTGACGATAGGAGTTGGCAATAATTGGCTGTTTCCTAGCTGCTTTGTGAGACCAAATTGGATGTACCTGTATGTTTTCTTGCACAAAATTCTTTAACAGCCAAGCCATGCGAAATAAGACCACAGGTCAATATATAGATTACTCCGTTGAATGAATTTAAGAAAGATGCGTACGTCGTTCTAGAATTAAAAAAGAAAAAGCAAAAAAAAGAAAGATATTTTTGTCTTTAAATTACTGTGATCTTCTTCTTTCCTACAGTTTAAGATACTACTTACGTTAAGATTAGTTTTTTTTTTTTTTGTATGTTATCTTTATATAGTTTTAATACCTAATGTATAGGAGAATATCATATATTTATATCCCGATAATTAATGGAAAATATACAACTTCACATATATTCTTATAATTTAGCTATCAAAACCACTTCTCTTTTAATTCTATTTCTGAAACTTGCAGACATATATATTAATGTAAAAGTAAAAATTAGCACTTGATAGCATTAATAAAAATGAGTATCTGTGATGATCAACATTAAATTAAAAGCACAAATTAAAATTCAGGGTGATATATATTAGATTGATATCATTAGAAGCAAACATGTATATTTTGACAAGTAGAATAAATTATAAATAATTTAGTTCATCTAGTTTTACAACATGAATTAAATAATCTCTTTAATTTTAAAAATAAAAATGAATAATTAGTCAATTCCCTCCGTTTCACATTCTTTTTCAATTTACTTTATTTTAAAAAATAAAAGAAAGGAAAAAATAAATTATATGATGAGAAGATCGATGGAAAAAAGAAGACTTTTTTTAATAAAGTAATATTAATTGATACATAATCAATACTATTAAAAGATTAATTAATTAGTTTTTAAAACTAAAAACACTACTCAATTTATTTTAAAAAATAAAGAGATTACTTTATAATTTATTCTAGATAAGTATAAGTTATTGCAAATAGCTTCATGTGATAAAGGATCCCTTTTCTCTATAATGTTTTCCATGATTTACACTAATTCTTGTGGAGATAAAGATACTATAACTTCACTAATTTTTAACTGTTTTCAACTGAATAGATAAATTTTAATTTTTTACATTTGAATACATCAATTTTTTTAAAAAAAATTATTAATCAACTATATTTTTTCTGTTAAGTGATGACATGTTCTTTATTTTTAAAATACAAAATTATAATTTAGCTCTACTTTTTATCAATCAAGTACATAGACTTTATTTTTTAATTTAAATATACTAATTTTTTCGAAATTATTAATTTTTTCTTTAATTGAGGAAGTTTATGTTACTTTTAAAATATCAAATTATAAATTTGCTCTCTTGTTACTAGAGGGAAGTTTCCTCCCAAATTATTCTGCAATTTCAAATTTTGATAAAAAAAAAGTTACTTTCTGTTATAAAAGTTCAAACTAAACTTAGTTATGTTTAGGCGTAAAACTTGAAGAAAAACATAAACATGAGATTTTTTAATCAAAAAGATTTATTGTTTATAAGCATTTGGAGGAAAAAATTCCTTCAAAAAAAATAGAACAAAATTATAATTTGGTATTTTAGAGGTAACACATACGTCATTTGTTAACATAAAAATTGACGAAAGTATTAATTTGATTGATAGTTTTGAAAATTTTAGAATATGTAAGTGAAAAAAAAAAAAAAGTCTATGTACTCAATTAAGAAAAAAATTAATAAAAATACGCAATTCATAATTTTGAATAAATTAATATGTCAAAAAAAAAAAAAGTAAAATACTTACTTGATTGAAATACTTAAGAATACAATTAACACCTTTCTTGCAAGTTGCAAACAAGGAAGATTACCTAATGGTTGCTTTATTAGCTAGCCAGCACTGGCCTTTCCCCCTATCAGCTTTTATTATGATGGTGATGATGAGTATATATAGTTTATATAATTTCCATTGATCCTAGTATGAAAATGGATATATAGAGAGGGGAAAAAATTCCCTGAATGAGATTGCTCGTCAAATGGCAAGAGAACCGAAAACAACTCCACTGCTTATCCCATGCTGGGCTTGTTCAGAAAGGGCCATACCTTATGGTCAATTTCAATGACATCAAACAGCCACTTTTTTCTTTTTTTCTTTTAACGATATTTATTAGTATCTTCCTTCTCAATTTTTCAAGAATACCAGTTTTACAAGATAGATGATGTTTGTTACAAAACTCTATTATATATAATCTTTGCAACCAAAATAAAAATGTACTAATTAATTAAAAAAAAGAGTAAAGCATAACTTTTTGTTTTGATTAAAGAAGAATTTATTTTATTATCTAATATGAAAACAACCATGCATGCAATCGTACAAAAGCTTGAAAATCACATACGCGTAAGCTTCTTTTCAACAAACCAAATGAGCAAACCGGTGACTACAACTTTCTAATAGTACATGAAACGAGGAAACTCTTTTCTTCTACGTACATGTCTTTTTATTCATCTTCTACGTAAAACACAGATTATATATGCTCCAATAAACGCAGTAGCTTGATTCCTTTCTTTCCTTGCAAAAGCTTCTGCATCCACCCTTTTCCTTATTTCACTATACTCTTCCCTTTACCTGTAAAAATATACATATTGGATCTCTGTCAATATTGCTGCATACTGGCAATGATAAATATTAATTTTAATTATGTGGAAAAACGAAGTAACCAATTTAATGCAATACTGCATGTACTGAAGTATTTTGGTCTGACATTATGTTTTCAGAGTTTATTAACTAAGATATATGTACTTAGCATTGTCAAGAAAATCACTCGAGCATTTATAGTTGGGTTTACCTGGAAGCTGTAAAAACCGTAGTCTAGTAATGGTGAGGTGGAGGGGGTGATGCGTAACTGTAATGGGGTGGTGGTGGTGACTTGTGTACTGGTGATGGTGGTGGAGGAGACTTATATTTGTATGGCTTCTTGTGATGAGGTGGTGGAGGAGACTTGTAAACTGGAGTAGGAGGTGGTGGAGGAGACTTGTACTTATATGGCTTCTTAGGTGGCGGGGGTGGTGACTTGTAAACTGGAGTAGGAGGTGGTGGAGGAGACTTGTACTTATATGGCTTCTTAGGTGGCGGGGGTGGTGACTTGTAAACTGGTAGTGGAGGAGGAGGATACTTGTGAACTGGAGGTGGTGGGGGAGACTTATACTTGTAGGGCTTCTTGTGTGGTGGGGGTGGTGACTTGTAAACTGGTGGAGGTGGTGGGGGAGACTTATACTTGTACGGCTTCTTGGGTGGTGGGGGTGGTGACTTGTAAACTGGCGGAGGTGGTGGAGGAGACTTGTACTTATAAGGGTGTGATGGTGGTGGTGGAGAATGCACCGGAGGAGGTGGTGGGGACTTGTACTTGTATGGGTGTGATGGTGGTGGAGGAGAATGCACCGGAGGAGGTGGTGGGGACTTGTACTTGTATGGGTGTGATGGTGGTGGAGGAGAATGCACCGGAGGAGGTGGTGGGGACTTGTACTTGTATGGGTGTGATGGTGGTGGAGGAGAATGCACCGGAGGAGGTGGTGGGGACTTGTACTTGTATGGGTGTGATGGTGGTGGAGGAGAATGTACCGGAGGAGGTGGTGGGGATTTGTAGTGGTAAGGAGGAAGTGGTGGTGGTGGGGATTTCTTAGGAGGTGGAGGGGAGGAGTATGCGTAGTTTGCTGTGATTTCTGATGGCAAGGTGAGAGAGATAGTTACCACCAAAAGAGTGGCAATAAGAGAGGCCATTGAGGACTCCATTTTGCCAACTTCGCTACAAAACTGGTTTGTTCTGCTTAGGTCCTCACTTCTCTTTATATAGATTCTATATTTACCCTTGAACCCGTAAACCAATCATGGTAAAATGGACTTTGGAGAAGTTTTAAACTTTGTGAAAAGACATGGATATAAAATAATTAATTCATTTTATTATGCTAATTTGAAAAAAATTTGACTTTTTGGTGGGCATTGTTTAATTGTTGGATTTGCCTTGATTAAGGTTGCAAACTCAGCAGGAATTAAGTAAAGACTATATTGCCTACACGTCCTTTGGCTTTTAGCCTTCGTAATTTCTAAATCAATTGCTCAACCAGGAAGTCATCGTTTTTTATTTATATCATCATAGGGAGTTAGATCTGGAAAAGAGAAAAAAATACGAGGGACCAGGCGGCTATGACTGGGACGTCTCTCTCTCTCTCTCTTTCTCTCTCCCTCTCATAACATTTGCAAGTACTTTCTCCAGTCTAATCTATCTCCACAGTTTACCTGGCTTTTCTCGATTTCTATGGGCGTGGTAATAAGACTATAGTGCCTAGATACCTTCACTTTCAATTATAGCTTTCATACTTGTGCTAAATTTCAATTAATCTAGAAGTCAATTCTAATCTCAATATTAAATGGTAAATCCAAAAGCCAAATCCCGTTGGGATTACTGAGTTACTAAACTGTAAACCCATAAAAAAAATGTTATTAAACTATTGCAATCGATTACGTCCAAAAATTCTAACTATGACCATCTTCGAGATTTGAATAGTCACGTTCAGTTAGCATTGTTGAATTATTTTAGTCACCGACTCTTAAAATACCACACCAAAGACTTCTGCAATGCTAACTAATCACAATAAAAAAATACAACTTAGATTAGATTTATTAGCAATTATGACCATTTGAACACATGCAACTAATCCAAAAGGATGAGCTAGCTAGGAGCACTCCTCTCGTCAATTAATTTTATCTTTTAAAAAACAACGAGATGTAATTTTTGTGCTTCTCTCTTTTACCACGTAGCTAGAATATGCGTGAAGTCGGCCATCATACGAAATATGGTCCTTCACGAAGAAAGTGACTTCATCTAACGTGCCTTTGAGCAAGTAATCACCGGATCAGTACGGAGAAGTAGGTGAAGACTTAACCAACGTAATCTCTTTTACCAGAAGGTGACATTAGAGAATTAAGTTTGACTGTTTCTTTAGCTTGTGTGTGTGTGTGTGTGTGTGTGTGTGTGTGTGTGTGTGTGTTGGGGGGAGCTAGCAGTAAAGGTTTTATTGACTCACATAAAGACTTTACATTGACTCACATAAAGACTTTACATCATTAGTGTTGTTTATATACAAAGGTTGAAGCAGAGTAAATGAGCACAATAGTTATAGAGTATGTTAGGATTCTACTGCTGATGGCAAAGTTGTAGGAAAACACGTAGTGACAGTTACAAAGTTTAACAAAGATAATTTTACTAATTAATTAATCCTTATCACCCTCCGTCAAGTTATGCAGGGTCTGAGAGAATGCACAACATGTGACGAAGATTCTGGAATTGTGATCTTGGCAACGGCTGGGTTAAAATGTCCGCCATCTGGTCAATGGTAGGGACATAGCAGACCTGGAGTAGGCGTTTTGCGAACTTTGTCACGTACAAAATGGAAGTCGATTTCCAAGTGTTTTGATCTAGAATGGAAGATTGGGGCATTTGGAAGGTAGATAGCAGGAACATTATCACATCAAAATTTGGGTGATTTATCAATAGGGAAACCAATCTCTTTTAAAAGTGATTCAATCCAATCAACTTTTAAACATGCGAATGCCAAGGCTCGGTACTCTGCTTATGTGGAGGAACGAGCGATTGTGCGTTGTTTGCGAGATCGCCAGGAGATCAGGTTTTTACCTAAGTAAATTGCATATCCAAACGTACTTTTGTAATCGTCAACATCGCCCCCCAGTCCGAATCGATATAAGCGGTAAGAGAGAAGTCAGTGAACTGTTGGAGGTATAAGCCATAAAGCTTCGTAGCTTGAAGATAACGAAGAATGCGTTTCGATGCGGTCAAATGTACATCAGAAGGAGAATACATGTACTAGAAGACTTTGTTGACAGCGTAAGCAATATCAGGGCGAGTAATCCCAAGGTATTGTAAGCCACCAACAAGATTGCAGTATAAAGAAGTGTCAGTGCATGTGGGTCCTTCAGCTGTCTTTAATTTGGTGTGTGTGCATGCAAGGGTGCCCAGGCCATTAGCCTGATGCATTTTGGCTCTTTGTAGGAGTTCACTGGTGTACTTCTGTTGATGTAAGAACAGATCCGAAGGCCCCCATTCAGCCTCTATGCCAAGGAAGTACTTGAGCCTGCCAAGGTGTTTTACAAGGAACCAGGAGTGTAATGCTAAAATCAAGAATATTATCAACTGGTTACTGCTACCCGTTATGACCAGGTCGTCCACAGAGATGAGGCAAAACAGAGTATTTGATCCGAAACATTTATAAAATAATGAGATGTCAGTTTGTGACCTCTTGAAACCCATGGATGTTAGTTTGTCTGTAAGGCACCGAAATCACTATCGTGGTGCCTGTTTGAGGCCGTATAGGGATTTCTTCAACCTGCATACGTGTGTGGGTCTTGCTAAATCAACAAAGCCTTGCGGCTGAGACATATACACAATATCATCAAGTAGACTGTAAGAACACATTGGAAATGTTCAATTGTTCTACCTGCCAACCCAAGGAAACAACAATAAAAAGAATTATACACAGGGCAACTGGTTTGATGACTAGACTGTAAGTGTTAGTGAAGTCTACTCCTGGAAGTTGATTGAATCCCTTGGCAATCAATCTTGCCTTGTATCTGTCAAGAGAGCCATATGTCTTTATCTTAACTTTATAGACTCACCTATTATCGATGATATTGTAGCTGGGTTGGTAGAGGATAAACTCTCAGGTATCATTGGCAATTAGTGATTGGAATTCACTTGACATTACCTCACGCCATCGGGGATCAGAAGGGCTTGGGAGTAGGACGATGGAGTTGCTGGAGTGACTTTAGTGGCATATGTACGTGGCTTGAGGTACCCTGTTTTGTCACGAGTCACCATGGGATGAGTGGAGGCAAAAGGAATTTATGTTGGATGTTCAGTAGGGGTTGGTGGCTTAGAGGTGTCTGGTGATGGGTTTAACATAGCCGATGGAGAAGGCGATGGAGATAGGGGCTGAGTGCGAGGGACAGGGGCAGTCATTAGGTTTTATGAAGTTGGAGGTGGTAAGCCCGAGATGTTGTCATGGCTGATGAGGAAGAGGTTTGGGTGATATCACTTTGGGGTCTTATGGCTGTGGATCATCGACGTGGTTGGGGTGGCCTGACATTGGATGAAGGGTATGTTGCTGTGGCAGGGATGGATATTTAGGGGAATGGATTTTGGGAGGTGATTGACGGCTGAGAGGAAGGTTATAGGAAGTTAGGTCAATGGAAAATGACATAGACGGATTAATAAGTGTTGGTGAACGTGGGTTAGTGAGGGGGGATAGGTTTGGCCTTGATGGGCTATGCGTAAATTGATGAGTTGGGTGAGACGGGCTTGAGTTGGGCTTAGTGGGTGTATTTTTTAAAGGCTGACGAGCTGGGATGGAAGAGGGGTCTAGTGGGCCTTTAGTGGGTAGTTTTAATGAGGAGAAAGGGGATTGGTGTGGGCTGATTGGGCATGAGGAAGGATTGGGTATGTGGGTTAGTTGATTTGAAATTGTAACGGGTTTGGTATTTAGAACAGAACAGATAGGTGGAGTTAGAGAAGACAAGTTTGGTCTTTTTAAGGCGTTAATGTTACTGGGGAGCAGTGGTGAGGTTGAAATGGTGTTGCGATTTAGAGTGGGTATGAGACTGGTGAGACTCATGGTTTCGGAGGAATTATTGGGCACAGGTGAGCTCTTCATGGATGGTGCAAGGCAAAACACCTATTCGTCAAACAAAACATGGCGTGAGACGAAGAATTTCTTTGTGGAAAGAGCATAACAAATATATCCCTTATGAATTTTTTTATAACCTAAGAAAATACAAGCACAAGAACGAGGTGCAAGTTTATGTTTTGCATAAAGGCGTAACCAATGATAACAAAGGCACCCAAATACTTTGAGTTCTTTGTATAGTGGAGGAGTGCTAAAGAGAACGAGGTAAGGGCATTGATTCCGCAAACGAGGGGTAGATAATATGTTTATAGTGTAAATGGCAGCATCGAAGGCATATGTCCGGAACTCAAAAGGGACGGATGCGTGAGTGAGAAAAGCTTGGCCGATTTCAATAATGTAATGATGTTTATGTTCAACACATCCTTTTTTTTCGGAGTTTTGGGACATGCACTTTCTTGGAAGATGCCATTCTCATTCAAGTATTTGGTTAGGGCTTAGTATTCACTACCCTAGTCGGATTGAAAAATTTTGATGGGTTTGCCAAAGTGTTTTTCTACCATGTGTCCGAATTTAATGAAAGAACTTAATACTTATGATTTATATCTAAGGAAAAACGATCTGCAATATTTGCTAAAATGATCATAAAAAAACACATAATAAGAAAAGCCATCAATGGATGGAATAGGGGAAGGACCCCAAACAACCGAACAAACTAACTCTAGTGGTTCTTTAGCTATAAAGGTTGATTGAGGGAATGGTAGTTTGTGAATTTTGCTTAAACTACGGGCATGACATGGAGTAGAAGGTAATGAAGTAGAAACATGTAATCCGTAATGTTTCAAAGCTTGTTGGATCTGTTCGGATAGAGGCATGGCCAAGACGTACATGCCAAGTGGATAAAGAGGCCTTGTGAGCTTGAGGAAGGCGACCCAATTATGCGGGAGATGAGAGTATGTAAAGTCCGTTATTAAGTCGATCGATGTGGAGGATGCCATGTGTATTCAAGTCCTTAACAAGAAATTTATCGGGGAAAAACTCAATAGAACAAGAGTTATGTTTAATGAAACTACTAACGGATAATAAATTTTGAGTACTTATGGGAACATGCGGTATGTTATTCGAGTGAATGAATGATTATTGAGATGAAAGGAAGAATAACCAATATGTGTGATGGGAACATGTCTACCATCGATGAGTTGCACCTCCTCCGGACCATTATACTCTTTATGGATGGTAAGGTTTTCCGGATGCACTATCATATGATGTGTGGCACTCGTGTTAACAATCCATTGAGAGTGAGGTGTTAGCAAGATGGGAAGATGGCTTGAGGTTGCTATTGAACGGGCATGATTTAGGAGACGAACGGATATTGGCAAGATGACTATTGCGATTATAGTTGTAGCATAACACAATGGCCGGTTTAGTATGGGTGGCACGGGATGGAGGAACTCCTTGACGATGGCCATAGGAGGAAGGATGTCCACCACAACGCCCTCGACCACGAGTGGTATACTCGCCTTTTAGCATAATGGACGAGAGATAGGAACTTCGGTATGTTGATCATTATTATGTAACCGAAACTCTTCACCGAGAGCGAGACCAAGGAGAGTCTTATAAGATATGGCCTCATGATGAGATTCAATTGATTGTACGAAAGGTAACTCCAAAACCACGAAGTAGAGCTTAAACTAGATCATCCATAGGAATTAGTGATCCAAACGAGTGGAGAACATCAAAGATGGCTTTGCCTCGTTCAAAGTACTACCGGATGGATTTTGAAAGGCGCCGAACGAGTCGATAGAGATCGCCTTTTAAGTGATTGATTTGGGTTCCGGTGCCAAAACCATAGGCGGTCGTGAGTTTGAGCCAAGCCTCACGGGTTATAGATGCTCCAACAACTAAGGACAAGATAGCTTGAGTAAGTGAGCCCACTATCCAAGTTAGGACAAGTTGATCATGACGTTTCCATTGTGTATATAAGGGATTAGGGGTGTTGTTTGCAAGTGTTATAACGAGGGGAAGTTGGGAGCCATCGATTTGGTGGAGGAGACCTTGGTAATGTAAAAGTGGTTGGAGTTGTATTTGCCATAAGATGAAATTTGCCATAAGTGAGTTTGAGTATGAATGGGTTTGTGTGTATGTGAGGAAGTGAGCCATCAACGTGAGCTGCTGCAATAGTGGGTGAAGAGGAGATTGGCATAAGGTTATGTTACGCCATGGTGGATACGAAAAAAAAGAAAAAAAAAAAGAATGACGTGCAATGGATCGTTAAGTCTTTAGGGACTACGATACCATATAGAGGTTTTATTAACTCACATAAAGACTTTACATCGGCGAGTGTTGTTTATATACAAAGGAAGCGAGTAAATAAGCATAATAGTTACGGAGTATGTTAAGATTCTATTGCTGATGGCGAGTTGTAGGAAAACACATAATGACAATTACGGAGTTTAACAAGGATAATTTTACTAATTAATTAATCCTTATCACTAGCTAGCAAGACGAAATAAATCTGCCTATGTAGTTATTTATCTCAATTTTTTCAACAGCTAAAATTTCAAAATTGGTTGGTCTTTGAAACTTTCTATATATTTTTTTCGATTTTGTTCGGTATTTAATTCAAAAGTAGCTATAGGGTTATTGATAAAAAAAAAAAAAAAAAAAATTAGACGCAAAGGTTATTGGCTCATGCAATCAACCAAATCAAGTACACAAGTTTGGATGAATAACGTGTAAAGCTCAAACAAGTGCCACAGACATAATGATTGTGTCCTTTCTTTGACTCATAAATAAATAAAGTGTAAACTGAATTTATATATATTTATTTCACTTATTGAGAGAACATGTAGAAATAAATAATTGGAGATTAGAATTTAAGATGTTAAAAATTTTGTATTATTAAGGAATGGATGAAAATGAGATTTAAAAAAAAAAGTTAAGAAAATATAATATTAGTACTTATTTAGTTATGTGATATTATTAAGATTAGTAAAGTGACATGTATCGATAAATTTTTATAAAATAACTTGTTAAAAATATATAATAATATTAATATTTTCTTTCTTTCTTTTCATGTCTTGAGCACTATCATCTTAAAATTCAAATTAACAAATATTTATTTTGCTATCATGTGGATAAGAAATAAAAATTATTTATTATTTATTGTTATTTTTTTAGTTTATCAAGATAAATTTTTATTAAAATTATTTAATTTTTTACATTTGAATCATGTAGCATTTTGATATTTTTTATAAAATACATAGATGAAATATTATCTTAATATGTTTGATTATACATATAACGGTTAATATATATTTTATATTCAAACAATATATTAAGCATAATTTTTCTACAAAATATCAAATAATAAATGATAGAGTTTAAATTCAACCTGAATCTTTTAAGCTTGGGATCTGGATTTATATTTTTAAAACCAGATTAAATTTATAAGATTTATTTTGTTTTGTTTTATTAAATAAATCATTTAAATCTATTATAATTCAATATAGTATTGGAAAAAAAAAAAAAGGTGCCGTGTTGATAAGATTTTGACAGATGAGATCCCTCTTGTTTTCTAAATATAATGCAGTTTTTATCAGATAATTTATTTTAATGACGGCACCTAGATGATCCAACATAAGATCCAAATCCACCCGGGATTAAAATTGACAGCACGTTACATTTTTCGAAAAAAAAAGCTGAAAAAAATCAAAAGTTGGAAGAAATGCACCTGTTTGCCTGAATGTGAAGCGAAATAATGACTGGCTGTGGTCCCAAATAATTTGGAAACCGATTTCGAAGTCATTTTCTGCCCAGTTTGAAATATATATATTAGAAGTCTTATTTAAAAAAAAAATTTGTTAATTTCTAGACACAGTGGATCTCATTAGACAGCCAGTTATTTGCCTTTATCCTCTGGTTTTTATTCGTTTTATCGTACTAGTTCTGCATGCAGCCTACTTTTCTTCTACTTCTTTTCTCCAATTTGGTGGTGTTAATACTTGAGCAATGCTAGCTTTTAATCATGACTTCCATGCCGAGACTTTTTTCTTCTTTTATTTTCTTTTTTGGAGAAAAATGTCGGCACTTTTACGGATTATTGAATGAGTCAATATTCCTATATATTAAAAAAAAATGTAATTTCATCCTGTCCCTGCATGTTATATATATATTATAAAAATAATAATCAATGATTTATATTTATTAATGAAACCACAATGATTTATATTTATTAATGAAACCACGACTATTTCGTAACCGGGATCATTTTCTCAAGAGCCACGCCTCGCTTCCATTAATTAATTTGTCGAGGACTTTAATTAGAGAAATCGGTGATTTACAGTACATTAACTAAACCACGACTAATTCGTAACTGGACCATTTTCTGAAAAGCTACGCTTCTCTTCCATTAATGAATTTTGTCAAGGATTTTAATTAGATTGTATATATATATATATACATAGCTTAAGCATGGCAAGCTATTTTTTCGCTAGAAAACTATCCTACATGTTTTGAGCAAAATGCTTCATTCTTGTCGTTATATAAAATGTTTCAATTAGAGAAAGAGAGAGTGTTTGGGTGGACATTCTGTTCTCCACACATTTTTTATTTTTACAGAGAATATACATATACAAGTATGGTTGCTTTTGGTACAGCTCATACAGAGCAGGACCACAAGAAAAGCACGAAAGAGCCTAACTAATTTATCCAAAATAATGCTGACATGGCATCATACCAAAAGGATGAAGAAATGAAACAAATAACTAACCATTAATCACTAATCATAGTCTAATTAAGCTGAACAATCTCGCTTGGGATGAAGTTCTTCTAATACTCCCCCTCAAGGTGAGCACTTGGGGAGTGAATATCCAAGATGCTCATCTTGGACATTAAATATTTGAAGGTAGCAGATGACGGGGTTTAGTAAAAATGTACGCAATTTGTTCGGATGTATGCACATATCCTGCATTAATAATTTGAGCAATAATCTTCTCTCGATGAAGTGACGAGTCCAGTTCTATATATTA